AGCTCAGGGAAATCTCGAGGGGTCAGTGGTGTCTCTCACCCTTTAGATTTTACTAGGACTGAGCTCTACTAATCTGGGGCAGCTAATATACAGTGACTCGTACTTGATGATTTAATTTCTTTATAATTCTGTCTGATTCACTCATCGTTTGCAAAAAAGAATTCTCAATGTATCCAAAAAGATTCACAAAGTTGATCTCGCCCCTTCATTAATTCATTCAGTATTTTTCTTGCACATCTGTCATGTGCTCCTGGGCCAGCTCGACAGCATCTTTCCTTTGTCCTTCGCCTCACCCACTTGGAAGGAGTCCCCAGCATCCTCCTAAGCCAGAGATCCTGATGCAATTCATTAGTGGCCTCTGTCCCACCTGGACCAGGGTCTAAGAATCAAGAGGGATTGTGCCACTCAGGACCCAGAGAAGCAGCCACTCAGCCGCTGCCCAGACACAAGGGGCTGCTTCCTCCCTGGTCAGAACACCCAGGGTGGGGGGCACACACATGGGGGCAGAAGTACCTTCAGACCCTTTGGCGTTGCTCTAAGGGACTGTCAGTCCAGAATCCGTATCTTCATAGCAGAGGACATAGCAGAGCAGTAATATTTGTTTTTGTTCCCAACGAAGGAATGAGGAAAATACATAAAGATTGTAAAACATCCCCTGTGATTCATCATCAAGAGATAATCACTTTTAACATTTTTATGTTTACTATTTGTTTTTTTTTTAAAAATTGTCTATAGACACATCCATCTATTTTTACAAAAATAGGATTATTGGGCTTCCCTGGTGGCGCAGTGGTTGAGAGTCCGCCTGCCGATGCAGGGGACACGGGTTCGTGCCCCGCTCCGGGAAGATCCCGCATGCCGCGGAGCGGCTGGGCCCGTGAGCCATGGCCACTGAGCCTGCGCGTCTGGAGCCTGTGCTCCGCAACGGGAGAGGCCACAACAGTGAGAGGCTCGCGTACCGCAAAAAGAAAAAAAGAAGAAGAAGAAAAAAAAAAGGATTATTCTGCAATACTCTTTATGACTCCCTTCCAAAGCATAAATGATTGCGACTATTTTCCCCATGTCTCATATTTCATAACATTGCCTAGTATGGATGTAACAGTTTATTTAACTTACTCTCTATTGACATCTAAGTTACTTACAATGTTTTTCCTACTGTGTGCAGGGTGAATTTTTAAAAGACATGATAGGTATTTCTTGTTAACTCACTGTGTAGCCCTCTCCCCTGGTCTTTCCTTCTGTGTTTCCACCACCAGCTTGTCAGCCAAGCCAGAACTCTGGAGTCAGTCCTGCCCCCTCCCTGCCTCGCACCCCCCCAACCAGTCAGTCACCAGTCACCCAGTGGTCTCTTCTTCTCCAGGTCCTCAGCCCTAGCTCAGACCTTGTCTGTTCTCTCTGGAGAACAGACATATTCACTTTGCTCATCTACTGTGGTTGGGGGCAGGGAACGAAGCCAAAACTCCTAGTCTTGGCAGAGGGGGGAGAACCGTGTTTAATGGGGATGGCTGTACCCATGTTTTGAGGAGGCCAGCTTCTGCGTATAGGGGAGAAATTAGTGATGGGGTGTCAGAACGAGAATGTTCTTCTGAATCTCCGGGGTGCCTGTTGGGAGGCCTTGGGGGGTCAGTCAGGGCACTGTCTGGGCTGCCTCTGCTACCAGGAGCTCAGCCTTTGCCCACTGGCCGGCGCCCTTCCCAGGCCTTTCCCCTGCGCATACATTCTTTCACAAGTCCTCACTCTGGCAGGGGCTCAGGCCCTCCCAGGAGAAGCTCAGAATGGGAAGCTAAAACCCCATTCTGGGAAGATGAAGGCCCTCAGGGCAGGAGGGGCTGTGCCTGTTTAAGGCTGCCTGCAGTGGCATGCAAATTCCACTTGGGAGTTTGGTAATCCTGTAATTTGGGCTCCAGACCCTTCTTTAGTCCTGAGATGTTACACTTCCTCTTGGGTGCAGAGGGAAAATGACCTTATGTTTTCCTTCTAATCAGGGTCAACTCTGGAATCTCAGACTTTAGAAAGACATGAAAGGCCTTTTATTCCAGCCTCTCTGTTCTCTATTTAATGTTATCTCCCCAGAGTGTTCCAAACAAAGCCAGCTCCTTCCCATGCCCTTCCTTCCCAGGAAGGCTTTGCAGCCTTTTCAGGCTTTCAGTTCTTTAGAAAGCTCTTCTTGGACCGTGAGGGGGAGGCCCTTTCTCACATCCTTGCCTTTGCTTTGTAAGTTGGCTCTGCCCTTCCCCATCTTGTCCACCAGGGCAAACTCTCATTCCTTCTTCAAATCCTGGCCTAAGGTCACTTCCTCCTTCTTTGTTCCTCACAGATTGAGTTGATCTCCCACAGGGTCCTGAGCTTCTTTTTCATTTGCAACTCTTAGTTTACTCATCCACATTCTGACCCTCTTCTCTACCCGTTCCTGTCACCATGGACACTTCTGAGGGTGGTACCCGGGCTGATTCACTTGGCCAAGAGAGGACGCCTGAATGAATGGATGAGAAGGGAAGAAAGGAGGGTCTCAGACCACTTTAAACAGCAAGAACTCCTGGACCACCTTTGTTATCCCAGGTCCCGGATTTTCTTAAGCCCTCCCTTATCCCCGATCCTACTGGATCCTCACAGCAGCCCTGAAGTGGTTTAGGGTGGGGACTTGCATCCTGGTTGGCAAATGAGGAAGCTGAGGTTCCCGAGAAGTGACTTGCACAAGATCATTCAGAGCCCCTTGTGGGAGACCAGTAACCGTTTCCTTCCTCCCTCACCTTCTCTTCCCCAGCTCCTCCCACCTGACTCATTTCCCTCAGGGCTGCAAGAGCAGAGCTGGGAGTCCCAGAGAGATGTGAGGGATTTTAGAGGCCTGAAAGCAGTTCTGAGCAGTGAAGTCTGTGGGTGGAGTGCATGCAGACTCCCTGTGTGTTTGTGAGGGAAGGGCGATACTGGCTCCCAGAGGACCCCAGAACAAGTTTGGCACAGAGATATCTCCTATGTCTCCTTTCCACTCCCTAGTCCTGAAAGGGGGATCCCAGATGGTCCCCCAGAGTCCAGATAGCTCCACCCATGTCAGCAGAGTCGACAGAGTGCTGTGCCCAGGCAGACACTCATTAATCATATATTGAAATTGCTGTGTGACCTTAGGTAAGTCACTCAACTTCTCTGGATCTAGAAAATTTAGAAGCTTGGAGTCCTATCCTTAGGAACTAGGGACAGGGACAGATTGTTGTCTCCCAAATTCTACAGGACTGCCACAAGGAAAGGGGGTCATACTTGTTTGTGTAGCCCAAGGGGCAGGATTAAGATGGATGAAGGAAGGTGGAGGAATGCAGCGTAGATTTGGGATCAGTGGAAACGCTGGGCCATTTACTGAGCACTAGAGCAGCTCTAGAATGGAAGAAGCTCCTCATGACTGGAGGTATGCAAGAAAGGACGAGGTGGCCATTTGGGGATATAACGTAGAGGATGGTAGCCTTGGACTGAATGACATGTGAGGTCTAACTCAGAGAGCTATGATTTCAGTTACCTTGGAAGTCCCCTTGGTGCCCAGCATGGGCTTTTGCCCATGTTAGCAGGGTAGTGATGGTGAAAGCTCAGGGTCAGAGCTGGCAGACGTGAGCGCTAGTCTTCAGATTTGTAAATGTGGAGAGACTTTGGATAAGTGACTCCACTTCCCTGGGCTACAATTGCCTGATCTTAAAAATTGTAATAATGATCTCTGTCTTCCTGATCTTTCTAAATAATACTTGTAAGCTAGGAAATTCCATACAAATATCAAAGATTAGCATTAACACAACTTTTTATGTGTGTGTTTCCAAAAGTAATACATATTTATCATAGCAAATATGAATAAGACCAAAGAAGAAAATTTAGAATCAGCCATTATTCCACCACCCAAATGTTAGCCAGTGTTAACATTTGGGCATATCTTCCTTTAGTCACTTTTCTATGCATGTACACATTCATATAATTTTTAAACCAAATATTGTATCAAATAATATATACTATTTTGTACTCTGCTTTTATTTCTACTTAAGATATTTAAGTGAACATTTTCTCACATCCTTAAATAGTCTTCTGCATGGGGCTTCCCTGGTGGGGCAGTGGTTGAGAGTCCGCCTGCCGATGCAGGGGACACGGGTTCGTGCCCCGGTCTGGGAAGATCCCACATGCCGCGGAGCGGCTGGGGCCGTGAGCCACGGCCGCTGAGCCTGCGTGTCCGGAGCCTGTGCTCCGCAACGGGAGAGGCCACAACAGTGAGAGGCCCGCGTACCGCAAAAAAAAAAAAAAAAAAATTCTTCTGCAGGTTTAACCTTTAAGAAAATGTTTTATTGAAGTATTGATATAATATAGGTAGAGAAAAGCTCATGGATTGTAAATGTACAGCTCATTGAATTTTCACAAACCAAACTCATCTGTGTAACCAGGACCCAGATCAACAGAACAGAATTACCCGTCCCCCAGAGGGGTCCCTCAGGCTCCCTCCCAGCCACCACCTCCCACACCTGGGGTTGCAGCTTCATACCAAATTTTTATTTTGAAATAATTATAGATTCACAGGAAGTTGCAAAAGAGATGTACAGGGAGATCCAGTGTATCCTTCACCCAGTTTCCTCCAGTGGCCACATTTTTGTGTAACTATAGCACAGTATCAAAACCAAGAGATGGACATTGGTAGCATCTACTGAGTACTCAGATTTCACCAGTTTTACACGTACTCATTTCTGTGTATGTATATGTGTGTAGTTCTATGCAACATTATCACTGGTACAGATTCATGTGACCACCATTACAATAAAAATACCTAGTTGTTCCATTTCCACAACGCTCCTTCCTCCTTTATAACCACATCCACTCCCCCACTCCGAACCCCTGGCTACTGCTCATCTGTACTCCATAATTTTGTTCCTCCAAGAATATTATATAAGTAGAAGCATACAGCATATAACTTTTGGGATTGGCTTTATTTTTTTAATTAATTACTTAATTTATTTGGCTGCCTTGGGTCTTAGTTGCAGTGAGTGGGCTCTTCGTCGTGGCACGTGGGCTCAGTTGCTCTGTGGCATGTGGGATCTTAGTTCCCCGACCAGGGATAGAACCCGCGTCCCCAGCATTGGAGGGTGGATTCTTAACCACTGGACCACCAGGGAAGTCCCGGGATTGCCTTTTATAACACAGCATAATTCCCTTGAAATCCACCCACGCTGTCACATATATCAATAATTCATTCCTTTTTATCGCTATGTAGTATTCCATGGTGTGGGTATACCGTTGTTTGTTTAACCAGTCACCTATCGATGAACATTTATTTCCATTTCTTGACTATTGTGAATCACCTTTATCAATATTTGTGTACAGGTTTTCTGTGAAACACAAGCTTTCATTTCTCTGGGATAAATGCTGAAGGATGTGATTGCTGGGGCATGTGGTAAGTACACTGTTTAGTTTTATAACAAACTAACTGTTCTCCGGAACGGCTGTTCCCTTTTGCATTCCCACCAGCAATGCACGAGTGATCTAGTTTCTCTACATACTTGTCAGTACTTGGTATCATCACTATTTTTCATTTTCGCTGTTCTGAGAGGTATGTGGTGGTATCTCGTGGTTTTAATCTGCATTTTACTGATGGCCAATGAAGTTGAACATCCTTTCACATTTATTTGCTGTCTGTATATCTCCTTCAGTGCACTGTCTGTTTTTGTTTCTTTTTTTGCCCATTTTCTTCTTGGGGTGTCTGTTCTTGTTCTGTTGAGATTTGAGAGTTCTTTATATATTCTTGATACAAGTCTTTTGTCAGATATGTGGTGTCCAACTATTTTCTCCCAATCTACGTCTTGTCTTTTCATCCTCTTTAGGGGGTCTTTCATGGAGCAAAAATTAAAATTCTGATGAGGTCTAATTATCAATTTTTTATTTTATGGATTGTGCTTTTGATATCAAATCAAAAATCTTTTTGGCTAGCCCTTGGTCTTGAAGACTTTCTCCTGTTTTTTTTTCCTGAAACTTATATAAGTTTATGTTTTACATTTAGGTCTGTGATCCAATTAGGATCCAATTAGATCCTAATTTGAGTTAATTTGTATAGAGTGTGAAATTTGGATTCATGGTTGGTTTTTTTGGTTTGGTTTTGGTTATGTACAGCTTAATTTTTAATGAGTGGCCAATATTCTATCTTTAGACATATCATAAGTTACTTAAACAGCCACCCTATTGATGAATCTTTAGATTGTTTTCAATATTTTTGCTGTTATCAGTAGACGATGAATATCCTTGTAGCTAAATTTTATACTTTTCCATGATTGTTTTCTAAGAAGAGTGTTTTAGAAGTGGAATTACTGTGGCAAATTTTAGGGCATTGGGTTAGTACTGCCAAATTGCTCTTCAGGCAATTCTCAAGGCACACCTGCGAACCCACACAGGTGAGAAACCTTACCACTGTGACTGGGACGGCTGAGGGTGGAGATCTGCCCGCTCAGATGAACTGACCAGGCACTACAGCAAACACACCGGGCACTGCCCCTTCCAGTGCCAGAAGTGCGATGGGGCAGTTTTTGAGGTTGGACCACCCCGCCTTACGCATGAAGAGGCACTTTTAAATCCCCAAACAGTGGATATGACCCACACTGCCAGACGAGAATTCAGTATTTTTTACCTTTCACACTGTCTTCCCGGTGAGGGGAGGAACCCAGCTGGAAAGCACTACAATCATGGTCGAGTTTCCAACAAGTCAACTTGTGAATGGATAATCAGGAGACATGAGGAAACCAAATGACAAAGAACAGATGGGGTCTGTGACTGGATCTTCTATCATTCCAATTCTATATCCAACTTGAATATATATTCCTGGACTTACAAAACGCCAAGGGGGTGACTGGAAGTTTTGGATATCAGAATATAAATTAGACCCGTGAGTTGGGGAGAGGGAAGAGCAAAATCCCCTGAATGTTTCAATGCAATATCAGTATAAAGATCACCTTGTATTCTCTTTGCCTTTTAAAAGCCATTATTACAATCTTAGAAGAGGAAGAAATTCAGGTACAAAAAATGTGTTTTAATAGCCTAAACGACGGTGCTCGGTGAGTCTTGGTTCTAAAGGTACCAAATGAGGTCAAAGTTCTCAAACTGCTACATACTTTGACAAGGAAAATCTATTTTTGTCTTCCCATCTACATTTATGACCTAACTCAGGTAAATACACCTGGTTTACTTTAACCATTTTATGCAGTCTGTTATGCACTGTGGTTTCAGATGTGCAATAATTTGTACAATGGTTTATTCCCAAGTATGGCTTAAGCAGAACAATTGTTTTTTCTATATAGTTCCTTGCCTTAATAAATATGTAATGTAAATTTAAGCAAACTTCTATTTTGTATATCTGTACATTACAAAGTAAAAAAATGAACATTTTGTGGAGTTTGTATTTTGCACATTCAAGGTGAGAACTAAGTTTTAAATAAACCTATAATATTTTATCTGAAAAAAAAAACTGCTTCATCATCAAGGAGATTCATAGAAAGGCTATGGAAGCAGTTACAACAGTTCCACACCAAGATGATGGCTATGTGAGGATTCCAGCCCGTACTGACTTAAAACAAGGAGCTTTCCTGTCCCTGGGGCCCCTAGATCAGGCATCCAGAGAGTTTTACTCCCTGACAGGCAGGGTCGATGCCCCTACTCAGCCTTGAAGCAGTTACAGAAGACAGACCATCGCCCTTCTGTTTCCCGTAAGAATATGGAAGTAAAATCTCTGAAGGGGAAATGAAACAGGAGGGAAGGGGGCAGGGTACAACCTCTAAAAGAATGACATAGCCCTAGGACATGACATAAACTGATTAGAACCAAATGGGTCCAAGATGGCGGACAAGTCAACTTCCACTAGACCTTGAGCCTCAGTATATGCTCACTGTAACACATCAGCAAGCTAAATGACACACCCACAGGCACCATGACAGTTCCAAGGCCAGGATCATAAGATTCAAAAAGTGGGCAGTAGCCTAGTTTCTGGAAATCCCCGCCCCTTCACAAAATAGCTGGAATACCCCTCCCACTCATTAGCCTATGAAATTACCCACCCCTATAAAAACTGACAACCCCATACCCTGGTGCCTTTCTCACCTTCTGAGATGGCCCACACTGTCTGTGGAGTGTGTTTCTCTTTAAATAAATCCACTTCTTACCTATCACTTTGTTTCCCACTGAATTCTTTTTTTTTTTTTTTTTTTTAGCGGTGCAGGCCTCTCACTGCTGTGGCCTCTCCCGTTGTGGAGCACAGGCTCTGGATGCGCAGGCTCAGCGGCCATGGCTCACGGGCCCAGCCGCTCCGCGGCATGTGGGATCTTCCCAGACCGGGGCACGAACCCGTGTCCCCTGCATCGGCAGGCAGACTCTCAACCACTGTGCCACCAGGGAAGCCCTTTTTTAAAAAAAAAAATTACTTAATTTCTTTACTTATGCTTGCATTGGGTCTTCGTTGCTGCACACGGGCTTTCCTCTAGGTTCCACAACATGTGGGATCTTACTGGACCAGGGATCGAACCCATGACCCCTGCATCGTCAGGTGGATTCCTAACCACTGCACCACCAGGGAAGCCCCTCTCACTGAATTCTTTCTGTGATGAGACATCAAGAACCTGAGCTTCATTAAATCCTAAAACCAGGTGTTTTATCTCAGTTGGAAGACCGCGGGTTTTGGCCGGGTTCGAGTCCTGGCTTCGTGGGTTAGAGTCCCAATCTGAGGTGCACGGTTTCAGGACCACTGGCCTGCAGGACCCAGAGTCCCTTCTAAAGTCCCCACCAAGCTGATCTTGGCTTCTGTAAAGAAAGAGCCAAGGAGGCTGGCACTCTGGGATTCTCTGTTTCTGATTCTGTAAGGTTAGTATTCTTAGTTTATTTCTAGGCTCCAGAATCAGACAGACTTACTTTTAAAATCTATATTCTCTGCTGTGTGACCTTGGGCAAATTATTTAACCTCTTTGAGCCTCAGTGTTCTCAACTGTCAAACATCTTTTTGTATAGTGAGAATGAAATAAGTCAATATATAAGCATTAACCATTTGTTGAATTGGAAAAAAAAAAAACCACCTGAATACGTTAGTTTTAAAATTCTGTAAAACACGAAGATTGGAGGTTATTTCATCAGAGGGGACGATGTGAAAGCAATGGAGTCCTTGGTGACTGCCGAAAACCACTGCTGCTTCTGGCTCCTGCTTCTCTGAGTTTGCTCTGGGCTCTGTCCTTACGCGACGTCCCCACCCCCACCCCACCCCCCAGGCCTGGGCTAGAGCGTCAACTCCAGGAATCGAGAGGGAAGAACTGCGCAGAGAAAGGAAAGGGGAGTGTCCCAGGCAGCTCCCTCTGGTGGCCTGTCTGAGACCTGCACCCAGCCCGGAGCTTGGCCTGCAGCTCCGTTCTTGCGGCGCGGCGCGGCGCCCCTGGTTCGCCCATCCGTCAGATGGGAACTCACGTTCCAGCCCCGCCTATGTAGCCGCTTTCCACCTTGTACAGCAGTCGAAGACTGAGGAGCCACGGGGGCCAGGGCTGGGTTTGCTCCACCTCTGGGTGCACTGTGGCCAGGACTGTGGTGTTTTTCTAACAAACGCTGGCTTAAAATTGTGTGGGAGCGGACCCTGAGCTCTGAGGCCTGGGGCTCACCCCATGGGCTGCCCTAATCTTTTGAGCCACTCTCTCAGCATCCAGTTGCCTTTGTCCCAGAGTTTTATTATTCCTGTCATCTCTCACCCCCATCTCCTAGAGAATGGGCTTCCCACCAGATGATTTAGCTCCCTGCCAGGAGTAAGCAAGCTGTTTGGGCAGGTCTATCAAGTAATTATATTCATTCTCCCTTTTTTTTTTTTTTCTGAACCAGAATCACTCTGCGGAGGAGTGGGAAGAGGACAGAGTCTGGAATAGGGCTTTTGAGTGCAAGTCCCAGGTTCTGCCACCCACTCTCCAGGCATCATTTTCCCCATCTGTGAAACGGGTTAGTGATTGGCCCTGCCCTGCTTTCCTCGCGATAAGGTTGTGATCAGTACATGAGGTATGGGTGTGAGATGTAAGATCTGTGTAAACTTTAAAGTGTTGCCCAGACCTGATGATGCAGCAGAATCATCTGGATTTGTTTGTTTTCAAAATCTGAAAACTACCATCCCATGCGCGCGCACACACACCCAGACACACACACACACACACACACAAAATAGTGGAAGCTGGAAACTTATGTAATATTGAAGGAAAATTCTGGTACATTTAATAGAAACAAGATTTCTGGGCCTTTCTGGTGCTTGGTGAAGGTTTGTGCTTCGTGCCACAGAGCAAGCCATGTGGAGCTGGCTGCGAGCTAGGCGTCTGCAGCCTCATTCATAGGGGTTCCCAGACCCTCAGTTAGAAGGAGCCTCCCGATCCCCGACTCATCTTTCAGCTGCGGAAGCATGCTCTGGGAGGTGGGACTTGCCCTTCTATAGCCAGTGGGGCTGCTGTTGGGGTGGGTGAAGTGGGGCACAGACTCAGACACAGCGTGTAAGTCAGAGCAGAGGTGGGACCCTGCCAAGGAGCTGGAGAGGAAGAGTTGGACCCTCCCAGGGAACACTGGCCCCTTCAGGCCTGTTAGTGCACACACCTGCCTCCTGAGGGGTAGGGGAGGGAGGGTCCTTTTGCGCAACTGCAAGTCTAAAGAGCTGGTTTCTTGCTGAGCTTGCTGTGCAGCCTTAGGAAAGTCCCTTAACCTCTCTGGGTCTCCATTTAACCGTCAATAAAATGGATGTATTTTATTTTTCGGATGTGTATTGATAACCAACTATGTGCCAGGCAACAACCTGGGTGCTAGGGACCCTTTGAAGAGCAAATGTAGGCACAGTTCTTACCCTCAGTGTAAAGTGGAAGCTGGAAAAATAAACAGAAAATAAACGTGATGAGTGTCACTCTGGAGGGAAGACGAGGTATTGGGTGAGCACAGAGGAGGTGCATCTAACCTTGCCTGGAGAAGGATGGGGAAGGTGGTCAGGGGAGGCTTCCCGGAGGAGGTGGCAGGAACACTGAGGCAGGAAGGATAAGTGGGAGGTAATCAGGCTGGTGGGTGTGAGGACAGGCGAGCATTCACTGACTCCTCGCCTACTCCTTCGAGCGTCACCTTCCTTTAGAACATATTAACAAAGGGAAGTTCCGTGTAGTCACTCCCGAGGGGTCTGCTCCAAACCTAAGACACACTCCCTCCAAACACCCATCCTGTTCCCCACCCCCATGTGTCTGCACAGATGTCAGATGGGGCCAGCCAGGGAAATTACAGTGTTTGTGTCTGTGTGTGTGTAGATTATTTTTAAAGCTTGAGCTAAGTATGACTTTGTCCACAGTCTGCGGGAATTACTAAAAGGCGACACCTTTCCCAGGGTCCCCTGTGTTCCAGACTGGCTTCCCTCTTCCCTGCTCTCCTCTGACTGCTCTCACCTGCCCCCACCCAGTGCCTGGCCTCCCACCAGCCTCAGTTCGCTGCTTGTAAGTCCCTGGGTCTGGAGGAAAGGCCCTGAGGGAAGGAGAAGGCCCCTAGCAGGACAGTGGGTCTAGGTCTTTACTCTCCAGGTTCCCAGCTGGGGCTGTGGAGAGACAAGGGGAGTCCCGGCGTGAGAGATGTGTCTGTCTGGGGACCTGCAAGCCATTTGTCTGGGCTGAGAGGAGAGTGAGAGGCTGAGGGGAGACAGGCCAAGCCTGCTGGGTGGCCGTGAGACAAAAGTATAACAAGAGATGAGCTCATGTGCAGTGTGGCACCTCATAAACTTTAAAATACGGGCACATGTGTTTCCTTTCAACTGTGCCTGGTCCCTTCAGACTGACCCTCCTCAAGGAGGCTCTGGCTGTCTGGCTTTGTCATCTGGCATCTTTGCATCTTCAGCTGCTCATGTCCCATGACTAGGTTAGCAGTTCTTTCACCAGGAAAGCCAGAGGGGGTGGAGGAGGGGCGACAGGGCTGGGGAAACCCAGCCTGTGACTTGGTTGTTTTGGTTATCTACTGCTGTGTAAGAAACCACTCCAATGTATAATGGCTCGGCACAGCAGTCACTTTATTTGCTCACTATTCTGCAATCAGGACTGGTTGGTTCTTCCGCTGCTTTTGCTGCAGTCACTTATGTGTGTAAAGGGTTGGATGGGGTTTGCTATCTGCTGGGATACTGGATGGCTTAGCTTTTCTCTCTGTATCTGGCCTTAGGGCTTCTCCACATGGTCTCACCAGACTCTGTACGTGGCAGCTCTGGATTCCCAAGATTGCAAAAGGGAAAGCTGCCAGAACTTAAGACTTAGGTCTGGAACTGACCCAGAGCCACTTCTATTGCATTCGATCGATTAAAGCAAATCACAGGCCCAGCCCAGATTCAAGAGGATGGTTCTACACAGGGTGATAATACCAGATGTAGTTCGTTAGGGGTCACCAATATAACAGGATATCACAGTGGTTGGTAGAGAAGGCAGCACATGTAAAACACCTTATCCTTCAACTACC